CTGGCCCCTGAAATGATTTTCTGTTTGGGATTTGCTTCAAAATAATCTAGGGAAAATGGGTGGGGGTAGAAGTGAAACATGACTGGGTGAGTATATGGCCATTTGTTCATTATACTATTCTCTTTATTTTGTAAATGTTAGGAAATTTCCATAATTAAAAACAATAGGGCCAGGGACCAACAGATGGCATAATGGTTACATCACTGGACTCCCATGTAGTTGACCACAGTTTGAGTCCTGGATCCAGTGGCTTAAACTTACACCAGGCACATGTGCGTGTGTGCCCAAAATCTCGAGAGGAGAATGGAGGAAAAGGAATTGTGGCATGACCATCGCCTCTGGAGATGATTTCTTGTTTTCTGTCTTGGTCTCTGTCTCTCTGGCAAGCACACACACCCTACAGCAACAATCTGTCGCTTAAAAAAAGAAAAAACAATAGGACCAGTGGTTAAGGCAGCTGGATCTCCCATGGTCAACTGCACAGTTCAAGTCTTGGACTCAGTAGCTTGAGATTCACACTGAGCACATATGCATGCATGCCCAAAATCCCAAGAGGAAAATGAAGGAGATGGGATTGTGGCATGGCCATTCCCCCGAGGGGTGATTTCTCACTTACTTTCTCTCTCTCTCTCTCTCTCTCACTCTCACTCTCACTCTCTCACTCTCCCTCCAGCAAATGCATATATCCTACAGTAATTTTTTTTTTAAATGACAAAATTCTAAAAGTAATAGGAATCTGGCAGGGGAGGGGAGGCAATATATTTCTGAGCCTGGGTGTGGATTTTGACGTCTCACTAGAGACAGCCTCAGTGCTATTCTTCTTGTACTCTTACAGAAGAATTCCCCCTCGATTTAGGGGAACAAGGAAGCGCTGCAATTAGCAGAAGACCTCAGAGGGCTTACCCCCAGGATTTCTGGATGGGCTCCCTTTTAAAAGTAAGAGTGAAGGGCAAGCAAGTAGCACAGAGGTTGGGGTGGCTAGATTCTATGACCGACTGACTGCACAGTTCGAGCCCAAGACACAGCACCTTGAAAATCATGCCAGATACATGTGTGTGCATGCCCAAATAAAGGGCAGAAAACTGGGAAAGGGGTAGGTGGGATACAAAGGGAATGGAAGGAAGTGGAATGCAAAGAGAACAGCGGAGGAGGAATCGGAATGCAAAGTCTGTTGTTTTTGGATGTAAATCGTCTGAAGATGTGAAAATGACTGGCACCATATAATTTCTCTGATTTTTTGGGGGGGGGACCATCTGATAAACACATGTGACTTCCTTTAGCCCAAATCAGGGTATTGGGTATCAACAAACACCAGGAAAAATTGACAACAGGCAGATACTGCTTTCAGATGCAAATGCTTCTCAATAGCCCTGCTAAAAGCTTACAAAAGCGGGTTTCTGGGGACCAGCAGTTAGCGTAATGGCTATGTCGCCGGACTCCCACGTAGTCGACCATGTTTCGCGTCCCGGACCCGGTGGCTTAAAACTCATGCCAGGCACGTGTGCGTGCATGCCCAAGATCCCGAGAGGAGAATGGAGGAGAAGGGATTGCAGCGTGGCCATCCCCCCTGGTTCTCTCTGGGAAACCACACATCCCCTTATAAAAAAAAAAAAAAAAAAAAAAAAAACCCTTAAAAATTTTTTAAAACAATTTTGGGGACCAGCAGTTAGCGTAATGGCTATGTCGCTGGACTCCCACATAGTCGACCGCGGTTCGCGTCCCAGACCTGGTGGCTTAAAACTCACGCCGGGTGCGTGTGCATGCCCAAGATCCCGAGAGGAGAATGGAGGAGAAGGGATTGTGGCGTGACCATCCCCCCTGGGGGGGTGATTTATTTCTTTCTGTCTCTCTGTCTCTCTCTGTCTGTCTGGCGAGCACACACGCCCTATAGCAAAAACCTCTCCAAAAAAAAAAATTTTTTTTTTAAATTTTAAAGAGTGAACCTACTCCAGGTAGCCTAGGAATATCCGCAGGACCCCTAAGGAGGTCAGACCTCGCCCAGGCCTCACTGACTGCCTAGTGCACATCTCCCCAGCCTCCTAGTGATCAGTGAATAGCTGAGCAGGGCTCTGCCTATGTGTGCCAGGTGATCAAACCCCAGGAGACAGTCTCCGTGCTCCCAGCTCCACACACACACTCACTAACATCTGCCACACTGGCTCTCCTGAGCCCAGAAGTATGGCCTCTGTAGGGGCTCCAGAGGCAGCACCACTGAGCTGATTGTGAAGAACAAGGAGTATTTTGCTGAACTGAAAAGGAAGGCAGCTTAGGCAGAGGGCTCCAAGGCCCCGCATCCTCAGTGTGCTGGGCTGTGGCTACGCTGGACCACGCTGAGCACAGAGTGGACTTCAGCGTTCATCCATGCAGACTGCCCTATGGATTTCCCAGCGGCACCAAAAGCTGGAGCATTCCTCGCGCATCCTGCTCACAGCCGTCTCGGCGTCTTACCTTAAACAGGCAGTCGATGGGAGTTGAAGTCATCTGAGACAGTACACTCATTCTCTGCTTAAGGTACAGCCTGTCACCGAATCCCTCCGACTCCTGCAGGAAAAGCCAAACGGCCTCTTAGATCACACATCACGGGATGTCACCAGAGGTCCTTTGAAACAGAGGGCCAGCAGTGAAGCCGGCCACTTATCACAGAACGGGACCAGCAGTGGCTCTTCACCCTCTCATGCCTGGATCTGCTCACTGAGACAGAGAACAGATCGCCATCAGCAGGGAGAAGGGCTTCCTGGCGGTGGTAGCTTGACATCGTTCCCAGCAGGGATGAGGAAGAATGGCTGCCCACTGCCAACGTGTGCTTACGTGTGTGGCGTGTGGAATGTGCCACCTCCAAGTGTGGAATGTAGCGTGCACACTCCATTATCCTCCAGATGAACACTGGACCGTCCTGGCCTCCTCCCTCCTCAAACCTCCGTCCTAAAACCTGTGCAGCCCTATTCCCCGCATTTTATCAGGAGCCTAGAGACAGGAAATCCAGTTGACAGGCTGGTCTCTATTTCCCACTGTCAACCGAAAGAGAAGGAAGGGTCTGGCTTCTTGAACATACTTATTTTACAGATTATTTTGAAGTTTAAGCTATTCTAAGAGTATACATAGTTTGGTGGCCACTTTCAGGGCATACTGGGATTTCTTCTTCAAGTTTTTATCTGTTTGTTTGGTAGAGGGCATGTGCACTGATCAGAGAGAGGGACAAGAGAAAGCACCCCAAAAGGGGAACAGTCATAATGCAATTTCTTCTCTTCCACCTCTCTCCCTCCTTTTGGAATTTTGGGCACACATGCACATGCAACCAGATCGGGGGCCAGCAGGTGATGTAGTGATTAAGGTGACAGATTCCCACATGGCTGACTGTGGTTTGAGTTCCAAACTCAGAGGTTTGAAACACACCAGGTACATGTGTATGCATGCCCAAAATCCTGAGAAGAGGACAGAAGAAACTTCAGCGTGCCCATTGCCCCTGGTGGGAGCGTAGGGTGACTTCTCACTATCTTTATCTCTGTCTGTTTCTGTCTCTCCAGCAAGTACACACACCCTATAGCAAAAAAAAAAAGTCTTAAAAAAAGAAAAAGGTTCCGATCTTCATATTTCAGGTAAAGTAGACAAAAATTTAGAAGTGTATTGCTACTTTATGAAACCATTCTTTTAAGAATTTTTAATTATTTTTTAATTTGACCAGAGAGAGAAAGGGAAAGTGAGAAAGCAAGCTGCCAGATTTAGGACTTGAACCGTGGTCAGCCATGTGGGAGCCCAAAGCCTTAACCACCACACCACCTACCACCACCTGGTCTTTATGAAATCATTTCTACCGAGACACTCTGATACTCACCAGAGTCTCTGCAACTAAACCGTCTAATAACAAATTAACCTTCTAAAACAGAATCTTGTGAGAGATCAAGGGAATGTTTTCCCAGCTAGCTACTGCCAGGAGAACTCACCAAACCCTGAGAAAAACTGTGGGAGAAGGCTCTTCTCACAGTCCTGTAAGTTCTGACACAGAGATTCAGCTGAACACAGAACCAACAGCCCCTGCGGGAATGGGCCATTCCTGGGGTCCTCTGGCCAGCAGTGTCCTGCAAACCAGCTAACTTACTTAGAATGCTAATTTAGCAAATGAACACCAGAACCTCAGAATCAGAGCCACTTTTGCTCCCAGCTGCTCCGTGCTATATAAAGCTCTAACAATCTGCTTTACACGGTGATTTATAGCTGAGCAGCTTAGGGTCAGAGAAAGAGCAAAGACACGGTTCAGGTAAATCCGGGGCACTTTCCTCAAACTCTGGGTAACTAGCTGAAGGGCAGTGACGGAGACAGGCAGGTCTTCCAAGACTGAATCTTCGGGAAAGAACAAGCTATCAGAAGAGACGGTGTGTCAGCAAAGACCTACTCGGGACCAGGGTGAATACAATTTATATGAGGAGCCCAGTAAAGTGAGGAAGACCAGGAGGATGCAAAGCAGGAAAGGGAACAGATTCTTTCAAGATTCGGCTCCTCTTTTTTTCCACCTACAGAAGTAAAAGTCCCTTTGAGATTTCTATTCTCACATTTTTCTGGTCAGTATGTAGAAAAATAGACCAGCAATTGGTTTAAGAGGCCGGCACACAGGTGGCATGGTGGTTAAGGCACTGGACTCCCACATGGCCAACCACAGTTCAAGTGTTAGACCTTGAGGCTTGCTTTTTCACTTTCCTGCTCTTTCTCTATTTCTCTGGTCAAATTAAAAAATAGTAATGATAAATAAATCATTCTTCTTTAAAAAAAAAATTGATTACGATTCTCACAATTCACAGGCCACCGAGTGGCATGGTGGTTAAGGGGAATGGATCATGCATGGCCAACTGCATAGTTCAAGTTCTAGACCTGGCAGCTTGAAAAACACACCAAGTGTATGTGTATGCATACCCAAAACCCTGAACGGAGAAACAGAGTAGAAGGGATTGCCCTATGACCACTCCCCAGAAGGGGTGCTTTCTTTCTTTCTTTGTCTTTCTGGCATGTGCACCTGAGCCCTCTGGCAAATTTTTGTTTTGTTTTGTTCATATAGAAGGATTTTTGCTATAGCGCATGTGTACTCACTGGAGAAGCAGAGAAAGAGAGATAGAAAGCAAGAAATCACTCCCCTGGGGGCTGCAGGGGAGATGGCCACACCACAATCCCTTCTCCTCCATTCTCCTCTTGGGATTTTGGGTTTTTTTTCAGGTCCGGGGTGAATTTTAAGCCACCAGGTTCAGGACTCGAACCACGGTTGACTACATGGAGTCCAGTGACGTAACCAGTACACCATCTATCTACTGGCCTCAGCAATTTTTTAATTAAAATTTTAAAAAAAGATTCTCACAATTCACATAGAACAAAACTGCCTCTCCTAGTCAAAGTTTACCAACCAACCTACCAGGAAAACAACAACAAGACCACTGAGTCCTAAAATTGCAAACAATAGTAATACCATTACCTGGCTATCATGGTTTAACAAAAAAATCCAGGGACCAGCAATTAGCATAATGGCTATGTCTCTGGACTCCCATGTAGTTGACTGCGGTTCACCTCTAAAAAAAAAAAAAATCCAATTTGCTGAGTCTATCTGCCTCTTTTATCCACGTGCTTTCAAAGATGACAGGGATTAATAAAGCAGGACATTAATAATGTGAATCCCAAGGGGAACCGCCAACTACCATAATCAATTTGGAGCTTAGTGTTCAGGTTGCTGGGTGATTTTCAGGACTCAGAGCCCTCAAGGAGCTGAGGGCTCATTCTTGGGAAACCATTTAAGAATCACCCCATACTAACCCCAAACCTTACCAAAGCTGCCACGATACCCACAAAGAAAGAGCAGGGCAGGAAGGAGATCTTACGGGCGGTTTAACAGAGAGGCTTCCTTGACGAATATATTCGATCGCAGCTTCAACTGAGGTCAGGCAGTATCCCAATTCATCTTTTGCTGAGCTGCTAAATCTGAAGTTTTTGATGTAACTCAAATTTGCCATCCTAACAAAAGGAAGGAAAAATTTTATCATTGGATACCTAATTGACACCTCTGCAAAAACAACACTATTGGCTTGGGTGACTAATGAAATCCCTAGTGCTCAGGGAGCTACAGCAACTACCCGCTTATCTCTGTGTAGACTGTGTGCAGTTAGGAAAATAACAAACAGTACTTGCTACTTCCCTGAACTAGGCTAGTTTTCAGAGAGCTGATTACTGTAGAGTCCTGTGGGCTCTGGAACTAGAAAGAAGTGGGATCAGCTCCCTGCTCTGGCACTGACTGGCTGCGTGTTCCAGAACAAGAAACACGAGCTCTTGGGCCTGGCGTTCCCCACCTGGAAATGGAAGGACTGTCACCCCCTGCAGGATGAAGAGAGGAGGAGGCATAGTGCCTAGCTCATAAGAGGTGTGCAACTAAACGCAGCTTTTCCAAGAGTTATGTTAAACTGTCCCAGTGTGGTGCTGTCATTTTCAAAAGCTATCTTAAAAAGTTACCAATTAGGGATGTCCGTTTTCACAAGCAAATATAACAGGACGGAGAGCAGATCGTCGGCACACATGGTCTCCAAGTTAACTGCAAGGGGAAACATGTGCAAAGCCGTCATGAGACTCAAATCCACCAACAAGTTTATCGGCTCCCCCCGCCATCCACCCACAAAACCACACTCCAGTGAGATTATTCATCAGGGAGAAATGTAATTACACAAGCTCCTTCACAGTGTCCCAAACAGATGTCAGATTCAAGGGGGTGGGGAGGAACACCCAGCATCGGCAGAATATGCATAGAAGGAGGTAAGTCCAAGCAGACCACGCTGCGCACCCAGGAAGTGGTGACGATGTGCCCGGGGGCATCGCCGAAGGCCTCTCTCCCCTGAGCTCAAGTCCCTTCTATAGACACGGAGTCTAATGCCGCTTCGCTTTATTTTTTTTCATTTTGACATTTTAGGTAGTCCAGTCACACGTTTAGAAACTCAAAAAGAACAAACTGTGAATGGCACCCCCATCCCTACCACCCGGTCTTTTCCCAGAAGCGACTGTTGATGCTTCCCGGACTCTCTTCCAGACGTCTAGGAACTCACTGTCACAGACAAGGACACGCAGCCTGTGTAGCCATCCCCTTCTTTCCTTCTCTTTTTGAATTAGACGGGGTCTTGCTACGACAAGACCCTCCTGCCTCCCGCCTCAGGCTCCCTAGTAGCTGAGGCACACACCGCCACACCTGGCTTTCTAGGATGGGCTGGGAAGTGAACACGGGCCTCTCGTGTGGCCTCAGCCTGCAGAGTGGCAGCGTCCACCAGCGTGTCACTGCAGCTGCCCCCTCTTCTCTGATGTTGCTGAACTGTACCACTGACACTCACGTTTATTTCACTCGATATACTTTGAAGATGACCCCCTATCTCTATAGGGAGATCTTATTATTATTTTTTTAGCTCCTTATGTCCTTATACTAGAAAACATCAAACATATACAAAGTTAGGGAGAACAGTCTAACACTTGAGGGGCCCTCCCCACCCCTGGTAATAATCACCAGCTTGGCTCATTTTTGAGACCACTGCTTCGCCCTCAATATTTTTTTTTTCTTTTCTGGAGAGGTTTTTGCTATAGGCACATGCACTAGCCAGAAAGACAGAGAGAGACAGAGAGACAGAAAGCAAGAAATCACCCCCAGGGAGGATGGCCATGCTGCAATCCCTTCTCCTCCGTTCTCCTCTCAGGATCTTGGGCACGCACGCACACGCGCCCGGCGTGAGTTTAAGTCACTGGGTTCGGGACTCAAATTGTGGTCTACTACATGGGAGTCCAACGACATAGCCATTATGCTAACTGCTGGTCCCTCAATATTTTCATACCCTCAGAAGATAACTGCCCCATTTCTAAGCACCTACTCTTCAGAACAGACTCCAATGCTCAAACTGGAATACACTGCAGAATCCCAGCCCCATGTGTCCGGTCCCTGGGCAGGTTTTTCCATCTGGATATACACACCCAGCCCTGCGCCAGGCCCTTCCCCGAGCACGAACCTCTCCGGCTAGGAGACTGTGTAATTAGCTGCACCACCTTTCGCAAACAGATCAGCTTCTGCTGTGGGGAGGTGCATTTGTTCAGCTGAGCCAGTTCTCTCTTTGCACGAGGTATATTGAAGCTGTAAAATAAGTCAGAAAGTGACACCTTCAGACCGTGGTGAGAGGGCCCTTGATCTAGAAACATACTTTGGGTTATACATTCTGAGACGTAGTCTAACTCAAGTCAGTGACAGAACTTAACAGCCTTAAATCCCATTCAGGGGGTCGGCAGGTGGCGTGGTGGTTAAGGCACTGGACTCCCACCTGGCCGACCACAGTTCAGATCCCAGACCTGGTGGCTTGCTTTCTCACTTTCTCTCTCTCTCTCTCTCTGGTGAACAGAATAATGACAATGATGATGATGATGATGATAAATAAAACTAAGTGAAACTAATTCACTAGAGGATATAGAAATACAGTATATAGATGTAAATACCAGATACAGTATGTGTGCAAGAGGAGGTTCTGAGGAAGGACATTTACAAGAAAAATAGGGAGGCAAAGTATTGATGTCAGAGGGAGGTGTGGTATTGTCTGTTGAGGATGTTTTGTGGTTTTGTCAACTGTGTTGGGGAGAGATGTTCACTGTTGAAATATCCATTTTGTAAGTCAAATAATAATGTGATTGAATGTATAAAAGAAAATGAAATGAAAATTAAATAAAATAAATAAATAAATAAATAAATAAATAAATCTCATTCAGGTTGCACCAGAAATTTGGGGGGAAAAAAAATTCCTTAGCCCCAGGAGAAAATAGCCCAAAGAAGGGGCCCCGGGGATGGAATTTAAACATAAACACTTTAGACAGTTTTGTACTTTACAGGAACTTAAATTAATTCCATAGTAGGTGCCTCTATGACTGGGTTCCCTCAGGCAGGTGAGGCGAGATGTCCTGCATGCAGAACCCCCTGGTTGAGTCACGTGCCCACCTAGAGCCACCTGGACCAAGCCCCGTCCCTGCTGGTGCCCATCCAGCTGGCATGCTGGTGCACATGTGCAGGAGGGAACAGCTACAAAACAGTCATCCGTCAACCTCAGCAAATAACTGCGCTGTTTGTTAGTATGAACCACATTAAATCACGTGTCACCACTGCCACCAAGCGCCCCTACTTCAGGGAGGAGACAGCAGCCCAGCCTCCAATCACGCCAGGCTGCAGCAGTGCCAGCCCTTACCTGAACTCAGGTTTCACACCGATATCTTTCTGCTGAAGATCTTGAAGGCTCCTTGTGATTTTGTTAAAGGCAGCATCCTAACAACAGATTTCAATGAAGCTTCAAAATTTCTTACAAAGCATAGGATAAGGCTTCCGTCCTGGACGACAAGGACTGAGAACCTACCTCGCTTGCCTCCATGGTCCCCACATACTTAAAGATCAAGTCGTAAATATCATGATGGACGTACATCTGTGAAATCGACAGGTGCCAGCTCAGGGTGTGGGTGGGACCATGAGGACTGCCCCGCCCCCAGCCACTGTGCCCTCCTTCCCTCCCTTTCCTTACCTCTACCGCCTGCTTCATCAGGCTCATCTGGGCCTCCTGCTTGGCAAGCACTTTCTAGAGGAGGAGAGAAGTACAGTCAACGAACCTGGACTTGGATTTGTGCAAACTGCAATTTCCTGCTTAGAAAGCCCTGCCACGTACCAGGTGAGAGTCCCTCAGAAGGTGCTGGAGGCATTTGGTGTAGAGGGCATTCACTGAGTCCTGTGCAGCAGAGCAGAGAGAGACGGGCCGCTCTGATCACTGAAGACCACAGACTAAACAGATGACCGTTAACGCAGCCCGGAGCAAGGAAGACACTTCGCGAATATCTCTCCTGGGTGACAAGCTTAAGTGCTAATGCAAGCTTTATCAATTCAATTACATAACCGATTTCCAACTTTTTTCTTTAGGAATACACGCATTGAAAGTAGGGAGGAAAAATCCCCGTGGGGTTAACATAGATGATGAGAATATTTATTTTTATACTTCTTGATTTTCAAGTTTCTAAAGAGGCTTGTATTACCTTTTTTTTTTTTTTTTAATTTGCAAAAGGGTATGTGCTTACTAGAGAAAAGACAGAGGGAGGGAAAGGAAGAAACCTCCTCTGCTTTGGGGCATGGTCATGCCATAACCCTTTCTCCTCCATCTCCCTCCTGTCAGGGTTCTAGGCATGCGTACGCACATGCCTGGCATGTGTAAGCCACTGGGTCTAGGACTCAAACCGTGGAGTAGGCCATGTGGTTTTTAGCCGCCTTAACTACCATGCTACCGGCTGGCTCATGGCCTATACCCTCTAACTATTCCATAGTTAGAGAGAAGCATTTAAGCACAACTTCCAGCAAAGGACACTGAAGGGATCCTGGTGCTCTGAACTGGCCGGGATGGGCATGCCAGGCACGGCAGGACACAGCTACTGACTATGTGGTGACGGAGGCTCTTTCTTTCACATTCGCGGAATGTTCGGTGGAATGAGGCGATGTTCCGGTCAAATCTCTCAGAGTGTCTTCCCAAAAACTCCCTCACATCTTCAATGGTTTTCAGGGAAAAGGGATCTGAAGGTGCTGAAGGCTCTTCTGAAAAAGAGACAGAGGGTCGACGAAGGCTTTGCTGTTTCCTGAAAGTGGAAATGCCATTTCCTTTGTCCAGCTCCCTTAGGACCTAGGGACCCCTCCCTTAGGACCTAGGGATCCACCTTCCAGGCAAAGAGGGAGAGGAGGAATGTCCCTTCTAGAAGATACTGTCAATGAGCAGCCCAGATACAGCCACCCTGTGGCTGCTGGGGACCAGAGAACCTGGTCCACTGGAGGCCAATCCCTGGAACAAAACCCAGACTATCTGGGACTATCGGCATGAGACTCAGGGGAAGACACCTGTTTCCTACCAGAAGCGCCTCAGGGTGCATTTAGCACAGTATGTGCTGACTCAGTTTCCTGGGGCAGCTGAAGATTTATTATTCACTAAAAATAATGGGATCTCTGAGGCACGACGGTGGGGGTGGGAGAGTCCCACACTCTAAGAGCAAGCCCAGAGCTGAGACCCAGAGACAAGGCCAGGGCTACCGTGTTGTACAACTCAGGGGCTGACGATCACATCCCAGGTGTATCACAGGCACACTGAGGCTTATGAAAACGGCGCCTCCTGGAATTGTGCAGTATCCAACCTGTGCAGCTGTACACAGCAGCCCCAGCACAACTCCTTAGCTCAAGATGATGCAGATTAAGTTTTAGGGAGAAGTATGGTCAATACTTATGCAGGTTTCTCATGGGCTCTTGAATATTCGAGAATATGATTAACCTAGCAACAGCTGTGTCAGGAGGAGGCTTGGCCAACACGTTTCTCCACGTCGGGAGAAGGTGGTTTTCTCCCAGCATACCTGTACTCTCTCTCTTTTCCAAAGGATGGGCTATGCACAGGAGGCTGAAACTCTCTTCTTTCTCATTGTAGAAAGTTTCTTCAAAGAGAATGGGCACTGAGAGAAGGCAGGCAAAACCAGCTCCTAATTTAATCCTGTTTCCTTGTATGAAGACGTCCTGGAACAAGAAAGCCATCGATGTGCCAGCAGCTGGCAGCAACCCGAGACCCATCTGCCCGCCCCCCCCACACACCACTTAACAGACCCCCAAGCTGTCACTCTAGCATCACTTTGCTGGGGCACCGAGAGTGTCTAGTCTCCGATGTGTTCTCCTCATCGCTAAGATGTTCTTTCCTCTTTGTTTCCCTTGTAAGTGGCTACAGAGCACCTAGATCCTTTTTGAATGTTGCAACAGAAAAAGCGTGAAGCTATTTCTTAGAGTAGGAGAAATCTTGTAGCATTTAAAGAAAGAAAAATAAGAAAGGTCTCCTATCTGCGTAAGAGATCAAAGTGATCCATGTTGTCACATGGATGGGGCTGAATGCCACAGTCCTCTCTATGGCTCGCCAGCGTGGCTGCTCCAGGCCCACTCTGGCCGTGGCAGGGTGCCCAGGGCAGACCAGCCATGATAGGTCTGACCCCTCTGCTCTCTTTGTAGATGTGGCATCTGGAAGAGAGCAAGTTAAACTCACAAGGGACTGACGGCTTTGATGAGCAGACTTTCAGCA